CAACCAAAAACTTTCGAGACGACCAAAGTTCCTTTTAGACATCTCAACAAATAAATAGTTCTCAGGACAGCTCCATATAATCCAGAAAGGTTTTTTAAGTATAGAGAAAGCGATTTGAGTCTCATCTGACCTACGTATCTGTTGAAAACATTCGGTCGTTAGCTGCCCCTAAATTTTTCACATTGGGCATATTTTTTAGTCGGACATTAACGGTGGCGTCAGTTACTCTGTTACACTACATTTGGAACGTTACACCATCACACATGAAGAGTTGTGACAAGAAAAGAAGCGAACAGCGAAACTGCAAGTTACGGTGGTAATTTGCCTCGTTTTACTCGCCTCCCTTGTAATGTTGCTATTTGTCCTATTTTAGACCCGTGAAAAAGTGGAATTCACTGAAGCAATCCTACACCTCTTCCTGTCACTGTCAAGGACACCAATGGTATGATTTAGTATCTGACTGTTATATAAGTATAGCTGATTCAGTGAAGGATGCTTTAGGCGTTGGGAATTACGCTTTGAGAAGCTTTTGTTTGGTGGTCACTCAAGCAAAGCATTACAGTGAGTACGGTCAGGGTTCTGTCTAGGGTATTTGAGGGGTAGAAGCTTCCCCCCAAAATGCCCAGCTTCCCCCGCCCCAAAAAAAAATATCGGAGCTAAGTGTAACATTGTCAGAACGTGATCACGACTGAAAAATAAAATAAAATACCACTGTAACATTTCTCAAAATTGGGTCTCAAAATGTACCAGATTGCGTCTCAGCGCATATTCATTTCAAAAAATTTCCGGGGGAGCATGCCCCCTTTCCCCCCTAGGAAGCTCGTGGCCTTCGCCCACTCGGGATTTCTCCCCCAAACGATAAATACTAGATAGAACCCTGACGGTATGCCCGAATGCCCAATGCCTAATTGCCAATTCAACTTTTATTGACTTAGGCAAAAGTATTATTACCCAGAAGTATTCAAAGCTCTGAACGAAACTCTTCCGAGGAAAATACATTCTGTACCCTAATCTCGTACCCAGATTTCTTGTGCGCGACGCTTCGTCTACAAGAGACCTGGGCTCGAGATAATCTGTACCTGTCATGCAAAAAAGGATAATGGTCAGTGCTCACGGCGGTGTGTTGATGTAAAATAAAGTCAATAGTTGTTCTGTCGAGGTGTCCGTATGGGAATTGTTGCAGTGTAGGATTGCTGGACAATATTCACTACAAACGTATTAACAACAGCCAATCTCAGTAGCGGAAGACCATTGTATTGGTTTTAGAATTACATGTATGTGCAAAAGGTAGCAAATTAGAGCCTCGTTTGACTGAAAGATGAAATTCTGGTCCTTTTTTCTTGTCGTTTCCTTAAATTTCAGTGCGATCACATATCGAAGTAAGGGCTTTCTTGTGTGGCTGTAACGACTGGCATGGTGTAGGAGACTAAAGCGATTGAAAGACTAGACCGTTTTAACGGCTGATTTAGTATGAAGTTTGACATGACTTTTTGTTCATTATCTAGAGTGCTGAGGCCTTGGCAATGAACGGTTTATCTCAAACATTATGCTTGGGGCTAGCATCGCTTTCCATTGGCAAAGAGCAGGTAAAATACTCAAGGCGCAAACTGTTCGTACCAATCTTTAGATCCACAGTTTCTCAAAAATAGAATAGTTATTTGTTACGCCAGTTGTTTTCCTAGTTTTCAGTGTTATTGTGCCTATAGTTTTAACCCAACTTTTGCTTCTAACAGAAGTATTTCATGTAACAGTAACACTCGAATGCCGGAAGTAATTTCATGTACCAGTAACACTCGCATTTGTTCAACAGTTATAACACTACGTCTATAATTAGAAAGATAGATAGAAAACTTTATCAATGTGTCGGAGCCATATAGCTCGGGAAAAACCTCATACTAATTTGATGACACAATTTATAATTGGAATTACGTATACAATATAAAAGTAAAAATGTTAATACTACGCATAATTTATTACAATCTAATAAGAATCTTATTTGAGTAATATTCGCTGGAAGACTGAGGAGAATTCGCCATAGTGAGCTCCTCTTGAAACCCCCTCAACTGGAGAAATCGATATTTCATTCTTATTTGAATGTATGTTTAAGCGGAAACCACTTTAGTGCTTGATATTCTGGGGCGAAATTCGCAAAGCCTACTTAAGTTAAGATGTGTCCCAACTATTTTTTAATGAAAATTGTCTATTGCTAAGGAATAAAATACTCAGGATATGCTTTGTCTGAAGAGCTCATTAAGGGGAGGTGCTAATGTAAAGCTACACAGGTACGCGTCAACGCACCGGTTCATTCAGCGCCATTTTCCATTTTACCTTACAGCCCCCTCAGAATATCACTGGCACCCAATCCCAAGCCGCCCCAGGCCACTCGGATACACGTCACCAAAGAAACTGGAATCGAGTATGGCAGCTTGCACTTGCCGTAATGGGGTCAATGTTGCGCACGCTTAGACACGGCTTTTTGAAGGAGGCCTTGGACTTTGCTGGTGTGCATAGAGAAAGACTTGCAGAGGTCTGTAAACACAGTATTGCCTTAATGATGGCCATCCTCGGACATGCCAGTCGACATGAAATATTCACGAACGAAATAACTGCAAGCATAGATCATATAAAGAACGGGAGAGCCTCTGGAAAACTTACTCTTACCGAAACAGTTCCAGAAGCATTTGGATTTCCCTGCTTCTGATTGGTCACAAAATATTTTGTGGCCAATCAAGATCACGGAGGGTCGTGGGTTCAAATCCCACCTGGGACTCGGATTTTTTTCCGAGTCCTCCTCAAATTAATATCATGTTGTTGTTGTTTCATCTTTAATATACAATCAAGGTTTGTGCATGGAATTCAAATCTTTCTGGAACTTGTGGTTTCCTGAGGCTCTCCCGTTCTACTTGTAAGCTTTGCAACGACTACGCCTCTCATGGACTCCAAGAACGATAACCAATGCATGAAAAAACGTTTTTTCTTTCTTTCAACAATAATGCATGATTAACTGGAAAACAGTAGCTTTTAATGATTGTTCACACTGTGATTTTCGTTGTAGACTTTTAAAGCTTAATGGCGTCTTGTATTGCTAGCAGTGTCTCTTGAAAAGGAGACTGTTAGCTGGAAGTACCAGAAGTGATATATGAAGCGTGAGATGCAGTGTTTCATCACCAGATGAAACACCGAGAAAAGAGTTGAAAGGACGACGCGCAGCGGAGTATTTTTAACCGAGTTCTTGGTGTTTCATCTGGTGATGATACACTGTGTCGAATGCTTGATATTACTTCGCAAACAAAATGATTTTAGAGAGAAATTAAGTTTGCAAAAATGAGTAGTTTTTCATCTGATTTCCAAACCTCTCTTTTCTATTTTCTTTATGAATTATTAATGAGTTTGAGAATGTTTCTGACCTTGTTGAAATACTGGGAAGACTTTATCAGTTCCTTAGATGTGTTACACGGCTGAATTTTACCAAAACCACCTACAGCTGCCATTACGCAGATAATTGTAGAGTGGCCATGGCTTTCAGCCAAGAGAAACAGCTCCCTGTCATATCCCTGGTGGGTAGATGAACCTCCCATCAGGTCCCCAGAGGGGATACACAATGAAGGAATGACAACGTAGTTCGTTGTCTCTAAACGATTTCGGCGTTATTTGACTTGATGAAAACGGTTTCATAACTTGCCTTTATTTTCTTAAACTGCAATAGTTTTAATTTCGTTCGTTATAACTTTATTATACGACGGTACTTTCATGTTTGTCTTAGATTAGTTATCTTTAAGTTGAATTGTACAGCTATTTCAAGGAAGTTTGTCTGAAAAAGAGCACGCGACAATCCCGGAAGGTACTGTGGGTGTTTTTTAGTTCAAAATTCTTCAAAGAAACTTGAAGATGAAAATGGCATGAGAGGCCATGGATGTATGTTTGCGAGTGCTTAAGGAAAGCAACAAACGCAGGTTCGACAGCTACAGTGTCAGGAACATTGTACTGATCATATCCCATATTACCTTTTGGGATTATCGCGTGCATATTGTTTCCGACAACCTTTCTCGAAATAGCTGTATACAACTTGTGCTCCTTCATACTCATTTGCCTCCCTTTGTAATAAGCCATTTCTGAAGACAGTTTCAAGATGAGCCCACGGGCAAAACCCTCCGTGCAAAAATGAGGTTTTATGTGGTTATGTGTTACTGAACAATTAATGAATGAGGCTGAGTATCTTATGAAGAATTATGGAGATCGAGGAGGGTGTTATCCGTCGAGGCCGTAATCCGAGGCAGATAACACCCTCCGGGATCTCCATAATTCTTCATATGATACGAAAGCCGAATTCAATAATTGTTTTATTATTCATTCGAAATAATTCCTAGTATAAAAACATGGTTAAAACATGCTTACCTCCATCGATCCATCGATGTTAAGTTCATCTTCGATAGTGCACGTTTAGGGTTTGTTCAGCGCCGCAAATATTCTCGAAATAGAAGATGTCGTCCTTCGAGTTGTCTTCTTGCTGTTCTTTCCATGTTTTTAGCTATTATTTTGCCTAGTTCATACTCTTGAAACGAGTGAAATGTCCGCCATTTTATTTCTCACCCAACCAAAACAACTCAACCTCGTCCCCAGGTATTCTCGGTTAACGATGCATTAATTTGCAAAAAATCTGCACTTTTGACGTCATCGGTTCATTAAACGCAAAATTCTTCCAAATTTGGTCATCAGTAGCTGGTTATGGTTAATTATGCGTGTGGTTTTAGCTAATCAGAATCGGGGAAATATTTTGAATGGATAGTAAAGACCTGCTCTAGCACAATGGCTATAAGACAACCCCAAGAAGCCTATTCATGATCGTATTTACGGTCTCAGTATTTGTTTGCTTTTTACTTGGTTCCTTTTATTCAAGATTGTTCTTTCTTTTAGGCCATGGATAGCGTACGAAGGTCCCAGTCTTCAGACGTGTTGACCGAAGCCGAAGAAGTCAGCGGTTTCTTGTTGGAACTCGCACATTTCTTTCGTGAATGGAGGTTCACGCTTCCGGATGTATTGATACTACTACAGGTATTTTTTTTCGTCACTCTCTCCACTTTCGTTTAAGTGTGACTAAAATATGCTCTTGCGTATGTAAGCTCCTATGAAAATAAGCTCTTAAATTCGAAACGCCAAAAAGCCCCTCGCCTCCGAACAGAAGCCCCCGTGGGCTTTTATTTGGGATTAACCCTCAAACACATAATAACGCATACCGTATGGGGACTTTGGCGGCACGCCAAGACGTTAGAGTTCACGCCTTAGGTTTCTATGGGTTTTGTAGCTACCTTATAAACTGCGGTGTGAACTACGGTGTGATCTAACGTATAAACTATCTTTCCGGATGCAAAATGACTTTAATTTTGAGCGATGTTTTATAGTGTTAATAAAATCCTTTATCTTTGTTTCCCGGGAACAATGATCTGTCGCCATTTTTTGTCCCAACGCAATTCTTTCTTTAACTTTAGGCGGATAACAACTTCATGAGTAGACGTTTTGAGACCTTAGACTACCTCATAATAAAATATGAGCTTTTGCACAACTACAACAACATTTTGTTTCTATATTTGAACATAATAGATAATTCTGTTTCCGTCTGCCTTGCTCACTCATTTCTCCAATCTGGATAAGTTTTTCACAGTAGTTTTTAAACCCAGTGAAAGTGATACCTTGACTTGTAAGATAGTACCCTTTACTTTTTCTTGCAGACTCGGCTAGGTGTTCTTTGTCAAAGTTGTGTTGCCCTTTTGACGCACCCAAGATTGCTGGCTCATTTACTGGAGGTAAGAGTTCGGCTATTGTAATGAAGACGAATCTGAATCTGAGGTGAAACAAAGGCGTTTTATTCTAGAGCTGGGCTTCATGTAGTTACGTTCCTCTTTCACTTTCGTTTCTTTCTTTCTATTTTTTACGCTTGTGTTAGTGCTCTAAAGGCCCTGGAAGCGCCTCTTCCCGCGACAAGATTCAGTCTCCAGAAGTTCCTTTGGCTTTAAGTGGATCGTTTTCCAGAGAAATGCTCAGAACGTACTCGTACGCTGATGATGATTCATTCAGGAACAGTCCTCAGGTGTCACAAACACAGTCCCAGTGAGTTAGAAGTTCAATTCTGTTATTCTGAAACTGCAGGTTTCAATGGGCTCTTTGCATGATACGGTCACATGGTACAAAAACACCCTGCTGGATGGCAAACGAAGCAGTGAAGCAAGAAAAACCTAGAGGTTACATTATTCAAAGAATCTAAATATCCTTTGGCCTGGACTGTCATTAAGAGGCAGGGGCCAGGGATTTGCCCCGGCTTCTATGAACATGGCCCCCGATACTTTCAAAGGAAAATAGATGAAAAATATAGAACCAAACGAAACCCCTAGCTGTTTGTTTCTCTGCTTACTTATTGTATTTACCCGGCAACTTGAAATCTTAGTGACAACCCTGCTTTCTTTTCAAGGCCCGTTCCGCGTCCCACTGCGTCCTTTGCGAACTAGTTAGGTGTTTTTTGTATCATGTGACCCGTACTCTGCAAAGAATGTATGGCTCTGTCTTCCTCACAGGTTTTAACGACCCGCTTAGGAGACCATTGCGGCGGCAGTGGTTGAGTTTTGATCTTTATGCACGTTCTTTCAAACCTCTTTGCGATTTTTTCCTTGTCACTCAATTGACAAATGTAGGAGAGTTTTCCTTGATCTCACTTAATTGTAAAGGGTCCTCCCTAAGTTAACAGAGAAAGACAAAGGTTGGTGAATTAAGTGGGAGCTAAAAAAGGGTCCCTGTCCGTGCTCAGAGAGATGCAGTAAAATTTTTCACCTCGACGTTCACGTTGTCAAGACCCTAAAATTCTTCCACTTCACGTCGTAGTTATGCAAAGTACAACAGGGGAATTAACAGAAAAGCGCCATGCACGTGTGAAGTTGTTGTTTGCTCAATAAACGTTTGGTTTTACGTTCCCGTTCCTGCCGTCTTCATGGTCGTCTTAGGCTCCTAATGTATTAGAAAGGTGCCCTACCAACAACGGCTAACCTTGAACCGGAGGTTTTCTTTGTAAAAAGCGCACTGTACTTGAAATTGTCGCATTCAGCAATCCCTACAGGATAAAGTACCTTGAGATGATCTCAAGAAAGATATACCAGTGGTTCTTTTTGTTTTCTCAGGTTGTTAAAGATTTTGTGCAACTCACTAGCGATGTTACGGCAATTCACCCCCGACATATGTAGAATGCTGTTCGACCAGGTAAATCGTTGAATAGTTCTGTATTCTTGAACATTGCATGAGTATGGCAAATCGCATATACTTTTGCATTCAAAGAACTGCAAAAGTGTTGAGACGATTTAATACACATTCTAGAAGCGCAGGGTTTCTTTTTGAGGTCTAGAAAATCTAGCGTCTTGAATTTGGCGTTCATTGAGTTTAGTTAGCTAGGGCAGTTTAAAAAAATAATAATGATGATGACGATCATGATCGGATCCTGATCCTGATAACGATAATGATAGTAATAATAATAACAACAGCAACAATAATAATAACAATAACACGATATGCTTTCTTTGGTCTTTCTGCAGGGTATGGATTTAGACGAGTTCCCTCCGTTGCTGTCACTTGGTTTCAGTTCCCCAACAGTGGATCATGAGGAACCTTTATCGTTTGGTACTCTCCTGGCTTGTCTTAACATGGCCCTCTCCAATCTTGGCCCTGTGAGTTTCATTGCCTTTCTTGTACATCGCCTAACTTAAAAGAAGTTGGATGACTTGCTACGTTAATCAGTATATATTTCGCGGGCTGTTTATTACTCTCCCATTCACAGTTTCCGATTATCGTGAACTGTTCCCAGCATTATTACGGTTTATTGTTTGTGTAGTAATTGTTTATTATTTTCCGAAGTTGAAAATATAAATTTGAATTGTTTGAAGATTAGAGGGAGGTTATTTTTGCTCCAGCAAAACGCCGATAGTTGCCCATGTATGATGTTTTATCTCGTGTTAACAGGGCATCTCTGTTCCAACAACGAATTCCTCGATTTCCATGGCGTTTGCAGTTGTGCTAATAGATTAGTGCTGTAGAGTAGTGCCAAGTGCTATAATTGTTACATTGTAACTGTTAACTGATCTGACTTTTTCTACTGAGTTTACTATTCTGAAATATATTTCTTTTATTTTTTTTTTTAAGCCTGACATTAAGTCGCCTGTTAAATCTCCCGTGAGGACATTATCGGAGTCATTACCAAGGTAGGGAAAACTTCGCACTATTTTTGATCTTGACTTTGGACATTCGCTTCGCACCGCCTCGCCGGCTGCGTATAATTCGCTTTTTACTTGCCTACCTCTATGGGTTTTCTCCAAGGGCTTGTTCTTCTAACCCTTTAAGTCCTAAGAGTGATCAGCATCAAATGCTTTGTAAAACAGAGTGGTTATGAGAATTACGGACTTGATCACACAAGATGAATTTGCTTGATATTTTATCAATTTCTCCACACTATTTCTGTAGGAAATGAATAAGGTCAACAAATGAGAATTCAAATTTTGATCTTTTTGTTTAAAGAGTTAACCGTATTTCGGAAAAAGAATAAATGGAATAAACTCTAGAAGTCACTTGTTTCGGCGTTCGTTGCTTTTCAGTATCTAGAAATCTCCTTAAAATAAAATATCCGATGTATGTAGCGTTCAAATGGTCCAAAAGTCACGATAGAGGTGATTTGTAAAATAAACCTTTGCGTATTGTTATTCCGTAGTACAATCAATCGAACGTACCCTAAACATATCAACATCCAGCCTCGCCACCTGCAATACTTCATTTTGACTGGAATATGCTGAAACACCAAGAACGGTTGGTGTGGCAATCGTATGGGAATATCCCATCCTTTTTCACAGCCACTGTCGTGAAGAATACATTAAAAATTTTTTTAAGGGAAAACAAAGGAAATCTCTACCGTAGCGGTTATTTGGACATCGGATCGTTATTGCCATACTGTTTTGCGAACCTTTGGCTTTGAGTTTTTGTGAGATTATGGTTCATTTGAAAAGCTATATCAAACTCTTTAATTAGTGTTTTATCCGATATCTGGACACCTCGTCGTTGGTCTTTAAAACCTCTGCTGTGCTTCGTTAACCCACTTCTCGGTGTCTGGATATGTCGCTGGGATGAAACACTGCGTTCCGTCTTTCTGACGAATTTTGATGCGCCTGTAGAAGAACCATATGTCTTCATAAACGCCTTGAATGTCGTTAACTGGAGATTTCCTATTGTGAAATCCACGTATATAAGACGAGGTCAACCTTTTTTGTTTCTGCCATTACATAAATCAACCCCGATTAAAAGGTTGCTTACAATTAACTTGTCCTAAGGAGATATTTCTATCCTTGCATCAATTTGCCGGCATTTCAGTGTCAGCCTCTCTCTCTTTCACTCTCTCTTCGCATGCGTCAGGTCAGCCGCTTTCCTAAAAAGTGAAGGGGGAAATGATATTCACTTGTAATCGTGAAATTCTTTTGGGCTATACTGTCAAAGTAGTGCTGAACGAGCTCCTTACATCGCCCTCATAAGTCGCGATCTTTGCGTGAGTGTTCACTTTCACTTGGTTCGTTTACCTTACTGTAGATATCTTCTGATGTTCACCATGGAGAATGCGCTGGTTGTCGCTCTTTCTCAAGCGTGTCGGTACTTACGGGATCCAACGCTCGACCCGCGGGTTAAACAGTTTCTTAAGAGAGAGCTCGGCAGTGAACTGGTAAGCCTTCAGTTATGAACTTAAATTTGTGAGGTTAATGGTTGATTCATTGAACACTGATTAAATCCTTTTAGCAATATATGAACCTTTTGTAAGACTAGGCCGGTAAAAGAAAAAAACAGTGAGCGATAGCAGATATCGAACCCGGTACCTTTTGCTCCGAGGGTTCTGCGTTTACCCTGTGTGCTACGAAAACAATCGAGCATTTTCACATGACGCGGCCATGTTGTTGTTCCAAACTAATCCTGTGGGAATTGAACTCTTTTCTTGTGGAAACGCTTTCTTTTGTTCCAATAAATTTGCATAGTTGCTGGACACCTGAGTAAAAACGCTCTATAGAAATGACCTTACGGACGGACTAACACAGGTGTTGACATAGCACATTACAAAGAAATTACTGTAGAGACTTTAATCTAGCAACCTTAAGAGCATTAAAGGAGCTTTGTTAGGGCTGTCTGGATTATTTTGTCAAAATAATATAAATAACAATTCCTTTTTTCGCTATGAAAATTGTGAAGTTGCTAGTGAATGGTTAGATTATTATTTTTTAATAACATCAATAACACGTCCTTTTTTCGCTATGAAAATTTTGAAATCACTTGTGAATGACAAAATTACAGCTTCGTGTCACACAAATTTGTCTCCCACGCATCATTTTAAATGTTACAAATAACAAAGATGAACTTTGAAAAACTATTTGCCTAGCAAGTTTTCAAAAACCACAGTTGCAATAGAGAGGAGAAGTCGTTGCGTCACGTTGCCATGGTAGCAAAACTTCTGGATGACAACAAACTGAAAACGTCACTTAAAGAGTGAATTTGCACTGCTTCAAACTTTATCGATCTTATCCAGTTTCATTTAGTTTTTCAAATGTTGGTGAAATTTTACAAAATTTTTGTGTTGTGTTCACCAACTCCATAAAGCGGGCGCGTGAAATAGTGGGAAGTTTCATGTAGCAGTCGTGCAATGACGGCTAAGAAATGTATAAAAGAGCGTGATGCACGTGCAAAGTTGTTGTTTTGTTAATGTAAGACTATTGCGTTTTTTGCCGTTCTCTTAGCCGTCGCCGTCGTCGTTGCTTAAACTAGGGACCTTACGAAACTACGACGGCGAAGGCAACGAAAACGTCGAAGAGCAACTGGTTAAGATTAGCAAAACAACAACTCTGCACCTGCATCACGCTTTTTTGTACATTTCTCAGCCGTCCCTACACAACCACGATGTGAAATGACCAAATCAGTTGAAGTTTACTTGGGAACGGGAACGGCAAGGCGATAAATTCTACCATCTCTGTTTGAACGCGGGTGCGCTCCCTTCTCTTTAGCTCCAACCCAAATTCCCTTCCTTTAAGTAACCGGTCCCCTAGGGATAATCGCGAAAAAAAAAATGAAAGGATGCGAAGTCTTTTTTCAGCGACGTTTTCACGAACGTCGCCGTTGTAGGATCGTAAGGTCCCTACTCCCTATTCTTGTGATCCAGAAATTTTGCTACCATTGTAAGGTGACGTCACACTTCTGTCTATTCGTCTCAATCCTCTTCAATTTTCTCCATCCGTGCCTCCTTTTGCATTTAATGTATTATTTATATCATTTTTTAACCTTTTGAGCTGTTATTTTTATGTTTCACTCAGTTTGTTAGTAGTTCCCACTGACTGAATTTTGATAAATTTCGTGACATAGCCTTTTTTACCATCTGGCTCAATTGCGCATACCTTGCCTCACCATACCTACCAAAAGAAAATCGGAGCAATTTAGGTGTCTGGGAAAGTGCCCACCTACCCCTTCCCTAACCCAACATTTTGCCCTAAGTGGGAAGTAAGTATTAATGTTGACTTGGGGGAGGGGTAGGTGGGCAGTTTCCTAGAAGCCTAAATTGATCCAGAAAATCAACTACCCAAAAGATCCGTGAAGATCAAGCCCAGTTTTTCTTTTGTGTTAGATAATTTCTACCGCAAAGCTCAAACACCCTTGTTGAATGCGGGCGAAATGGGTGAATGCCTCACTTGTTTTTGGCAATCCAGCTATTTGCGTTGGCAGTTCGAGCGACACAACATTCACTATTCTTCTCTGTCTGGTGAAAAATAAAAATATCTAACCTTCACTTCTTTTAGGGTAACTTTCTCGGTGGTCTGTTTCGTCATTTTGTTCGCCGTGGACTACCCCCCTCCCCCGCGGGATCAGCACAGACAAGCCCCAGTAGTGCAGCCAGGAGAACTCCGACTAAATCATTGGCTTTTACTGAGGCGCCCGAACAAAAGTTCTTTAAACTGGCAGACAACTTTGTCAAGCAAGTCTTGAGATAGGAGCTGATTGTGGCTGTCACGCCAGTGGATAGTCTCGAAGACACTTGTGGCAATTCTGCGCAAAAGGCTACCAACGTCACAAGGCAGAAAATCTTCAGGCTGGTACCTTTTCAGTGTAGAGGTCCATAGCAAAGTTGGTACTTCATTTCTGTCGTTTACGACCGTTTCTTTGGACCTTACAAACATCTATTTCACAAAACGGGGCCTCATAACAAGACAGATACTAAAAATGTATTCGCACATGTACTTATCTTATTTCATAGGTTATAATATTTGGAAACGAACTCGCGGTTTAGCTTTGTCTTTCTGGCCAATGTGCAACCTCAAGGTTTGGTCTTAAATAACTTTCCGTTTAGACAGTTTTTGCTGTATATACACCTCTTTTTCGTAAGAATATGTCATATTTTGCGATTTCCTAGTTCAATCAAGATTGTCTGGCTAAATAAGTGGTGAAAAGATGAAGTAATATAGGCGTTTTGTAGAAAATAAACTGAAATATTGGTATTTGCTCTTATCAGCTTTCTCTTTACTTCGGTTTCTTCGTACTACATACTCGGTAAGTCCAAACCACTGTTACCTGTTGTTGTTTTTGTATTTAGGATGTTCGCAGGGGCACCCAACGGCAATTTTCGGGAAAATTTCTGTTCGGAAGACGATTTGAGAACTAGAATTTTCGGAACATTTGTTGTAAAATTTCTTGCTTGCCTGCCTCTCCTAGGATTTTCGAACATCTACAGAATGGTATAATTACCCATTTTAAACGGATATTTACCCTAGAAAAGGCCACCTAGAATTTTCGGGACCCTTTTCCTGGCTGAAATTTTCGAAAAGGTAAGTTTTGATCCCTATAATTTTCGGATCACTAGACTTTCAGCTAGGAAATCCGAAAAGATGAAAAGTTTTTAGGGGATAAAAATATGCCTATATCTACCGTTTAAATACTAACATACGTTCAACAATGCTATGTTAAGTGGTTTTGAACTATATCCTCGTTGGGTGCCCCTGTGTTCGGTTGTAAATCTTCTGGCCTCGGTAGTTCAAATGATGGATAGCGCTGTCCTTTGGATACATCACTCTCCAGCAGATAGGTATTAGGGACCCCAATTGCACCATCCACTGGATAGAGATTTCTCCGATGGATATCGTTATCCGCTTTTGAACAACTGCGGCCTGATGCCGGTTTTTTATATAGCGCTTATTATCCTGCAAAAACTAGTCTCTCGGAGTCGCGAGCGGAAGAGAAAGAACGAACCCAATCACAGAGCGTGAAAATGAGCATTCTGATTGGTTTATCCCGCCTCTTCTGTTTCCGGCTCCGACCATCTGGCTCTTCACTAAATCGTGAGTGACGGAGTCATATCGGCGATGGGAGAAAATGGAAACGTCCTGATTATTCCGCCTCCGATTCCGTCGCGCTCATGGCTCCACTTACGACTCCATTTTTTTATATTTACTCGGTCACAAGCGCTTTTAGTTGGATTCACCATTTTCGACTGCGACACCCTCGCTAGTAAAACCAGCCTTTACGACGGTGATTCTCACCTTTTACACACGTTTTCAACCGATGTTTTCCCAACATACGTTCAACGAATGGAAGCAAAATGTTGAAACTAAATTTAACGGTGGTTGCATGGACCACTTAATTTTTAGATAGATTCATTTCGCGCGAAACTTGAAGCTCTGCTCTGTTTACGGATAAATAAATAAATAAATACATATAGAGGATATTACACGGTGGCGCGAAGATATGAATTTTATTTTCGAGTGGCAAAACAACATTTTACGAACGAGCGCAGCGAGTGAGTAAAATATTGTTTTTGCCACGAGAAAATAAAATTCATATCTTCAAGCCGCCGTGTAATGTTCTTTTTATTATATAGACAAAATGACATCCATAAAATAATAGAGGGAAATTACCAAAATTACGTCATCTATAAACTCACCTGTGAGATTATGGAAAATAAAGTACTCGGGTCCGGGATGTAGTTTTTGTGAATTTTACGAGTGGTAAATTTTTTACAGTAAAACACTCGTGTCTATATAGTAAAAATAAATAAGTAACGGCTTAATGTCATGAGCTCATTCGAAGCATAAGGTATAAAAAAGGAAAACTAAGAATAGAACACGACCACATTACTCCGCTGCTGAATTAAGATCCAACGACGCGGACGGCAACGAGAACATCAAAAAAAACAATAGGTTTTATAAGCAAAACAACAACTTTGCAAGTGCATCACGCTTTTTTGTACAATTTTTTGCCCGTTTTTGCACGACTACGACGTGAAAATGCCTAATTTCGCGCTTTATGGAGGACGTAAACAAGCAACGACGAAATTTTATTTCTCTTTCTAAGCTTGAATAACGTCCCTTGAAATTCAGCTTTAGGAGGGTTCGCCTACAATTGACAAAGTAAGTGGGTAGGAATAATCACTCTAAAGACTGAGAGAACGCAAATTCACTTTTTAAGTGACGTTCTTGTCGCCGTCGCGTCGTTGGATCTTAAAGTCCCTAATACCTCCGTGACGCCGCCGTGCTTGCTTTTAAGTGTTGAAAGCGTATGACCTCTAGTCTAGAAGCTATTAACTCTTGCAAATCCCCTTATTTAAATCATGATGTGGACAAAGGACTTTCTATTACGGTATAGTAAACCTGTGGAACAGTTTGGACAATTTATAGCTTTTTTTTAGCTTTCTTGCTCTTTTTGTATAAACAAATGTATGTTCGTAATTTTTAGTTTTTTGTTTCTGACGTACTATCTTGTAAATTAATTATTATTGACACTAGGGAGTGTCATTAAAGTTTGTATAGATGGCTTTTCACAGTGACGTCATCAAATTGTAAAGTCAAAATAGCGAGAATTCTTATTTACACTAGGTTGAAGATAAACAAAAAGTAAATCTTTGTACAAGTTTTCATTCCCGTAGCATGTTTCATTTCGAGAATACAGCAAATTGAACGTGCGAAAGCGAGTTAAATTTGTCAGCTCAGCTGACAAATTTAACTCGCTTTCGCACAGTGTGTGTCGTTATCAGAACGTGCTAAAAGGAAGGTGGAAACATACGCTTAATGTTGTTTCTATTACTTTTCAATAACTGTCAGGGATTTAAATCTGAAATAAAGAATTCTTAATAGGTTACGTCCACCTCGTTAACGTCACTTTACAATGACGTTAACAATTGTTTTTGGCACATATTTCTGTCAGTAGCCAGAAAGTGTCTACTTCATTAAAGGAATATTTACTTTCAACGTGAATATCTTGTCAATAACGCCTGGTTTAATAAGGAGAAAAGACAAGATGTTTATATCAGAATCAGACAACATGACGCAGATTTCACTAAATTTAATTTAGTCACAACTTCCAAAAAAACACCAGGTGAATTTTAACCAAGTGCTTTTCACTACGTTATGACAAAAATAGCAATTGGTTTTACGACAGTGCAGCATTGGAGGACAACAGGACTTTGTAAGCGAAATACTGAGTAAGCCACTTGATCCATGTATTTGTGAGTGAAATTGCTTCCAGGTTTATAAATGAAGGCAAAACCCTCTCTCTTACATTAACAATGAATTTTTCCTAAATTTTTAATGTCCAAGTTGTAAACCCAGTTTTTTATTTTCTCGTGTACTATATTCAACATGGCTTCCCCTAACCGATCTTCTCTATTTGCCCACACGTTTTTTCGTTAATTAAAACCAGAAAAGAAAGGCAAACTGAAAAAAGGCTTTTTGTTTTAATCGGGTTTTATTCACCGTGCCATACCCCCCATTTTATTTGCATTTCGATTTATTTTGGTCATGGCACACAAAGCAAAGGTGTTGCACATATTATTTTTCTGTTTTTGTTGTTGTCATTGTTTTTTTTTTTTTTTCATACCTAGCTACGAGGTTTCATTCCAATTGAATTCACTTGAAGTTTTAATCAATTCATATTTTTTTCTGACTACATTAAGAATAAGTACAAGCATACAAAAAACCTAACAGCCGCCTCCGATTATCCTCAAGGCAACCGAACATATGATGTCATTTATATGACAAAGAAAAATCACTCACAGGGAACGTCGATCGTGCATTACAAAGCTTTTATAAAGTCGTCTTGTTTGTGGCTGTAAGTACACTTTGTGTGCCACTGTATAAGGCATTTCCCCATTTATTTGGCATTTTCGATATACGAGATTCGATCACGTATATCGTATATCGAGTCATTCGCTTTTCCTTGTATAGCGCAAGTGTGGCTTACAAGCAGCGTTATCCTTACTAACATGGGTTTTTGGAAGCAGGATAACTGCATTTATCGCATTGAACGACATGAAAGGTCTGCCGCGTTTATTAATTTACTGACAAGTTAAAGTTGACTTTTGTATGTGGGGTGTAAATCAGTGTTACATTCAATAACAGATAACAACATCACCAGGCTATTCTGTCTAGTTACAGTAAATCCCCGTTTGTACAGCAGCTAACAGAACATACGAATTTGGCCGTATTAACAGGCTGGCCGTATTGATGGGGAAGGCGCTTCGAGACCTTTTCCTTTTAAACCCTTTTATCGAAGGGTAAATAAGAAAATTTGTTTTCTTATAAGTTTCTAGTAATGGGGAGACGCTTTCATCACATCCACTTTGAAATCACTGGCGATCCGTGCAATCTGATTGGCTCTCAGCAGTGTCTTTATTCCCAAATCGCACCATTTTTAGCTCTAAATCGCATCCCTTGTTCTCAGCCAATGAAAAAGGCACACGAAAACAGCACAACCAAACCGATTTCAAATCTTGTTTAAATGAAGAAATCAAATGGCAGGTAAAATTGATGTATTAAAGTGGTAATTGAACTTGGTGTCGTGCAATTTTGGTCTGAAATCATACTTGTGATTTCAAATCGAACTTGCGCTTCGCGCTTGTTCAATTTTGAAATTACGCGACCCTGTATGACTTCAGACCAAATTGCACTCAACTCAGTTCAATTGCCGTTATAAATTCATCTGATATGATCATGTCCTTAATTCCTTTGACCACTCTGTCTTATGAAGCATGGATATGACAAAGAAAAAAATAATGCTCATCTCTCGTAAGGATAAAAGGGATGAGACATATATAGGGGAATGAAAATTTTAAGTCTTGTCCACGCGCATTCGTTTTTGTTTGAAAAAACGGAAATTTTTGGTCCGGTTTGGCCGAATGTATCCGTTAAAAACGATCACCCAAAACGCATCTTTTCAAAAACGATCTCCAGAAACGAGGTTTCTGAAAACGCCTTTTTGATGCTTTGGATGGATGAATTCATATTTTTTTACCTATTACGTCATGGTTTTCGATATCAATAAATGCGCATGCTCTCTTTAAAGATGATACTGTTTCAGTCCATTTCCGTCCCCAGAGCAACTCGGCTTAATTTTTAACGAACCAGTGGAGCCACTAGTTTCAAGTCCACGTGACCAAGAAACGATGGGCTCTGGGGACGAGAATGGTTT